CCACCAACATCACAACTCAATTCTTTAGGAAAATTATGATTAAATTTTTCGCAAACATAGATACAAGAAAGAAGGGAGGTGGATATAATGTACCTGTTCACACTCTTCTCCACATAACCAATTTTTTTTCAAATATATTCTTGATTTATCTCCTGCTCTTTTTCTCAGGCATCCAATGTGATCTGCATTGACACCATAAGCATTACAATATTCATCAACATATGCATTAATGCACACAAAATGAATTATCAGCTTACACTTATGTTCACATTGAATGCAAGTAAGAAAATCTCCATCTTCAGTCCCTTGGATTTTGATTTCGTTGCAAATCCGGCAACGGCATGATGGACAAAACCAGTCACCATCAGGGATATCCTACACAAACAGAACCAAGACCAGTTATTGGTATGAAAGTACAGAATTGAAGTAACCACAAGATAACATTTAATATGACATGATTGAGAAGGAAAGCAGTTAATATACCTCCAAACCAAGACACTCCACATGAAATGCAGATGGGCATTTGTCACATAAAATAAGTTCACCACCATAATGACAAACAGAAAAATTGTCATTTTCACCTTGACACATATCATTGCATTGTTTTTCCAAAGCTTCCCTTGCCCAATTTTTATGCATTAGTTGTATCATGCAATCCAAGAGTGACCTACCATCCCTCAAAAAGATACTAGCACAAGGCTTGCAGTCATAACAGCCATTAGCATGAATTGCAAAGCCACCAGGTCTATATACATTCTGACAACAGCTACACTTGATTCCATCAAGAGTTACCCTCCCTTCAATGTCGTGAGTGTTCTTGCCTCCTTTTCCCCGATAGTAGACCTTAGATCTTGGTAATACCATGTTGCTATCTATTAACCAAGACAAAACATTTTGATGTGATAGACAAGGGGAATTTACGTTCTGCACCCTTGTAGGTAATCCATTCCTCTTGTGCTTTGGTGGGCAGGCCTTTGATTTTGTGGTGCGTTTATGATTTGTATTCCCAATTGGTAAACCATCTGGAGTATGTGATTCAGCTACAACTTCGACAGGAGAGGATGCCCCGATCGGATGATGAACATCTAGATTTGAAAGATTATTGTCAACTGTAGAATGCATCCTACTCTGGTCAATTTGGGACAGCACAAAATTCATGTTGGACTCCTTTTTCAGATGACTACAAACTTGAGGAATTGAATAGTAAACCTTCTTGTCCTGTGTATTTGGTGACATGTACCTGTATCGTCTTTGCCCAGGACAATTTTTGTGTTGAGTCCACTCAATTCTCCATCCAAGATATGCTAGATGTTTTATTGCTTTTGTCTTCAAACCTTCCCTGGTCATCTTGCTCTCACATCCAGCTCCATATTGATTAATAACATCAGGACAAAATTCAACTTCAGATAGCACCAGAGGTTGCCAATATATGGACGTAGAACGTCTACGTTTTTCACTTCTTTCATTATAGCTAGAATCTGAAATTACTTCACCAGCATCATAGCAGGAAATTTCCTTTTGAGACTCAGGTTCTTCTACCAACACAATTTCTTTCTCAGATGCACCATCGACCAAAGGATTTGTATCATATTTCTCTTGAATGAAAACGATGCCACCACCGTTTTGATCGATATCTAGCAAGTTCGTAGAGTCACCACTTTCCATTGGGCAATCAGATATTCCAATTTTAGAACCAAGTACATTACTAGGACTAGAATCACAATGAACAATATCAGTATGTTCAACTGACTCCAGCTCTGGTGTTTCTTTCAAGAAAGCACCCGAAAAGTCCAAGACTTTGCAAACTTCTTCTAGCGTGAGAGTAAAGTAATCACCAACTATCTCCCTTACAAGGTCTCTCCACAAGTCTTTCACATTACAAGTCCAGTCCCTTATTTTATCAAATTCGTTACTATTCCTTAAATCATACCAAATTTGCTTAAATGAAACTGCAATATAGGAAAACTGCTCACACTCCTCAATCACTTCAAGAAACATCCACTTCCCTCGTGGCTCCCAATTCTCAGTAGCTTCATTCCAATCTTGAGTGATCCTCAATTGATCAATTCCAATCTTCAGTTCATCACCCAAATCTGGGAAGAATATGCTCCTTTCTTCCATTCCATTGCAGTGATCAAATATAACACCTTCCCACCGAGCTTCCTCATAAAATGCATCAACACATAGACCAAATGGAAGGTCCCATACCCCCAATTCAATCAGAGGAGGCAGTGGTCTAATGAGCCCACGTTCATTGCAACCATCTGCAGAAGAAAAAGAAGAAGAACTACCACCATCCAAAACGGGTGAAACCTCTACCACATCCACAAGATGATTTGATCCAGCTTCATCTAAAAAGTTGTCATATCTGACACGACGCTTCTGCTTCCCACACTTGATAACTATCCCTTGGTGCCATGAGCCCAAAAGACCATCTTCCATACTCCTAATCTGAAAATAAAGTAAATAAAAAAATAATAATTAATGTTTCAATTTCTTTAACTGGAAATTTCACATGAAAAGATCACCACATTCATATTATACAAAAAGTAGTAGTAAAAGAAATGCAAACGATAATAAAGGGAAATACTGAGACATGAAAATAACATTGAATCCTCCTAATGTTTTATCATAAACAGTGGCAAAATTCTACACTTGCATGAACGGCCAAAAGGGTCGAGACAAGCAAAGCAAACCGTGAATGGAAGTTCAATCATGAAGCCAACAATCAGAAGGGTTTTCATCGTGGAAACATATTGTAACCATAAATTGACAACAGGACATCGAAGAGTTGTAAACAAAACAGGACATCAAAGGGGCTTAGCCCCTCTTTATTTACAAAAAAAAAAAAAAACAGGACATCAAAGAGTTGTAAACAAAGATACAAAACACAATAAATTAGAGCCCATAAAAACTTTAAAAGATTTATAGAATTATTGGCGTAACAACAATAGACCAATTGTGTAATCTAAGAAAACAAAGAACCCAAAAGATTACCTGTAAGAACACAGAAAAGTACACTACAAAGCAGACCCGAAATTGACCCAAGAAATTCATAAATAAAAAAGATCATATCTTTATTTTTTTTTTAAAAGAAAGAACTACATAGCATTGAAAAGATAACGAAAAAGTACAAAACATAAACGAAATCACGACCCCAGAAATTCATGAACAAAAGAATACCATATCTTTATTTAAAAAAAAAAAAACTATATAGCATTACCTCGACTCTTTCATTGACAAGAAGCTTTCTTTTCCTGTTCCCGTAATGCTTAACATCTTCAACCTCCATTGGAGACTGATTCTGAGACACGACAACCTTAGTACAGTGTAACATCTTCAACTACAGTTCAGAGCTATAAGAAAACGATCAAGAACGCCGTATATAACCGTATGACAAGAAGCCAAGAAAACGATCAAGAATGCTGAAACCTATCAAACAACAACAAGAAACCACGTTAACCAACCAAACCCGGTTCTTGTTTAGCTGTTTCCTTTAATGCTTTGTCCGCAAGAAAAGAAAAGACTCATCTCATCTCAGTCTCGCTTGTTGCTGGGTTTTATCACTCTCCTAAGAGCACATGCGCCTTCAAACACAATAAGAATATAAAATATATTTTTTTTGAGTTATTCTTTGAGTAGAGTTAGTTTCCCTGATATCCTACAAGATTTGATTATTATTTGAGCCAACTAATTGTTGAAGAGGAAAAAAAAATACAATCGTATAGGTACTTTTATTGGTATCGGAAAAAAAAAAAATATCAGCTAATAAATTATCGTATCAGAAAATTGATAATTGTGGTATCCGATGAATTTTATTGATTGTTGGATTGAAGAGGTTTAATCTAATAATCGTATAGGTACCTTTTTTTTTAATTGTAAATACAATTATTATACAACAGTGGGTGTTTAAAAATTATTATTCTTATATCTTTAAAAATTTATTACTATTAAGAAACCTACATAATAAGCTAATATTTAAATAATATTTTATTTTTTTTATTACCAATATATGCCATTGAAGTATATTATTTATACACACTTAATATTAATTAATTTCCTTTTTCGTTTGTGTATATTTGACAAGGATTTCTTTCTTTCTTTTTTTCAGTATCTTTATTTTTTTTCTTTCATAATCATAAGTTTTACTAATTTTAAATATCTGTATTTACAAACAAAATTTGTCCCGCATGTTGCGTCCTTTTTATTTATTTGTTTTTCATTCTGTATTTCTCTCTTTTTCTGTTTCTTTTGATATCTTTATTTTATCATTTTTTTTAAAAAAAATATAATGCAAAGAAAATCTGGAATAATCTCCTCATGCATGAAATTTGGGCTTTTATTTCTTACATCAATTGAAAAATTAACGGTTTCCTTTCAATTGGTCTTTGACTGAATATTTTTAGTTTTTTACTTCGACCGAATTTTTTTTTTTTTAGTAGAAACTTTGACCGGATATTTACTTTGTGCATACTTACATTTCACAATTTCATCGTAAATAGATGACATTATTTGTGTGCATCAAATGTTTCAAAAATTATTTGAAAACAATAATACATGATGTTTATCAGAATAGAAACCGATCGAGGAAGAAATATGAAATAAAATAATTATTATAACTTTTTATTTTTACTATTCATTTTTATTATCAATAAGTTTATTTTTTTTTTTATACATTTAGTGAGCCACTTTTTTTAAGATTTTTTTTTTCGCCATCCGTTTTTATTTTGAATAAGTATATTCTGTTACACATACTTAATATTAATTAATTTCCTTTTTTGTTCTAGTATATTTTTTTTCTCTATATGTCATGTTTAAATAGTTAGTATCGTATGATTTGGTGGTGATAATGTGAGATTGTAAATTATTTTGAATGTGATTATATTAAAATCAAATTCTTGTAATTACTGTACACGGCAGATCATGCCGTTTTTAATCCGAAAAAAAATAAAAGATTTGACAAGGTTTTCTTTCTCTTTTTACTTCAGTATAGTCATTTTCTCTTAAATGTAAGGAATTCATAAGGCTAAAAAAATAAAATATTATTATTTTAATAAATAATTACGAATACATAGCTGTTTCGAAACTATTTACGAATCTATTGCACTCATTCACACCCAAATTAGGCATGACTATTCACGCCCAAATTAGGCGTAAGCGTAAATCATCTGGTATTGACACGTGACAAAAAAAGTCCACTTACGAACCGTAAAACTTTGGAAAGCCATAACTTTTGACTCGAGTATCAGAATGAGGTAAAAAAAATTTTGATTCCACATAACTTTCTGAGATCTACGCAATGACATCTCATTTGATACATTTTATCTCTCACAAATACAATTCAAATTTGTAATAATTGTATTATATAGTGTATTACAAAAAATTTAAAAAATTATTATTAATAAGAAAAATAAAATAAAGATTTAATTTGTGATTTAAACTCAAAAATCAATTTGAAAAATCTGTATTAATAAAGAAAATAATTAAATAAATATTCTAAACACTTAGTAGAATATTCTATAAATTTGTATATATTTTAATAATTAAATAAATAACCTTGTACACTATTTTTTTTCAAACACTTGGTAGAAGTATATACTTTAATATGATATTAAGTATCCTTATTTATAGATGAGTTAATCCACTTTGATACCATCTTTACAGTATCGTTGTTGCAATGTGATATATATAATATATCAAATGAGATGTCATTGCGTAGATCTCGAAAAGTTATGTGGAATCAAAAAAAAATTACCTCATTTGGATACCCGAGTCAAAAGTTATGGCCTTATAAAGTTTTACGGTTAAATTATTAATTTTTGGTGCCACGTGTCAAAACCAGACGAGTCACGCCTAATTTAGGCGTGAATGCCTTAGGAGTCATGCCTAATTTGGGCGTGAATAGTCACGCCCAATTTGGGCGTGAATGACTGCAATAGATCCGTATATAATTTCGAAACAATTATATTTTCGTAATTATTTATTAAAATAGTAATATTTTAATTTTTTTGCCGAATCCATAACTTTTTTTTAGTTATCACAAGTTTTACTAATTTTATATAGGTTTTAATGTTTCTCATATTATAGTAGATAAAAGTATTTTCAATACATACATAAAATTTTGTGGGGTCTATGTGAGGTCATGTAAAGAGAAGAGAAAGAAAAATAAAATAAAATAAACCGCACACACTTTTATGTATGTATATAAAATAATTTTTATCTCCTATAAAAAAAAAGGAGAAATATTATACCCTTTAAAATATCTGTATTTTGAAACAAAATTTGTCCCGCATGTTGCGTCCTTTTTATTTATTTGTTTTTCTCTTTGTATTTCTCTCTTTTTCTTGTTCTTTTGTTATACTTTCTATGTTTTATTTTGTTTTTTGTTTTTTTTAAGGCTTTAATATTTCTATTTTGAACGTAGATAAATTATCTATATTCACTTCCAAAACGACGTTATTTTGGGTTGAAAGATTCAAAAATTATAATGACAAAGACTATTATAACACTGAAATAAATTATAATTATAAAAATATCTTAATTCTACCCTAAAACAATATCGTTTTGGGCTCAATGCAGATAACTCATCTACAATAGTCGCAGAAAAAATAACCTTTTTTTTAAAGTTAAAAATGCAAAATAAATATGGAATAATCTCATTCATGAAATTTAGGCTTTTATTTCTTACTTCAATTGAAAAATTCACGGTTTCCTTTTCAATTAGTCTTTGACTGAATATTTTTACTTTGACCCAATATTTATTTTGTCCATACATACATTTCACATTTTCATCATAAATAGATGACATTATTTGTGAAATATTTGTGTCCATTAAATGTTTCCAAAATATTTTGAAAACAATGATCATACATGTGTTTAATTATCAGAATACAAACGGAAGCAAGTGTAGTGGCTCAGTTGGTAGCATGGGGACTGAGTGGTGGGAGAGGGCCTCGGTTCGAATTCCACCAACACTATCTGGGGAGCGACATAAGTACCGTAATCCTTGGACTCGCACTCGAACTCTGGATTAGTCTCATAGGCGGCTCAAAGAGTCGAACTCGTGGGGATACCGGGGGATTCTGATTCGCCTCAAAGAGGTAATTAGGATCAGTTTCCAAAAAAAGAATACAAACGGAGGAAGTTAGAGGAAATAAAATAGTTATTATTTAATTTTTTATTTTAGCTGTCTGTTTTTATTTTGAATAAGTTTATTTTTTTTTTTATTCATTTTGTAACCCATTTTTTTAAGATGTTTTTTAGCCATCCGTTTGTATTATGAATAAGTATATTATGTTATACTTAATATTAAATATTTTCCTTATTTTCTTGTATACTTTTTTTCTATATATCTCCTTCTTCTTTTTTGGAAACTTCTATATCTCATGTTTAAATGGTTAGTATCGTATGATTTGAGGGCAATGTAACATTGTAAATTATTTTGAATGTGATTATATTAAAATCAAAATATGGCAATTGATGTTCAAGTGAGATCATGCCGTTTTAATTATTTATAGATGAATTAATTCCTTATTAGATTTGAGGAATTAATTCCTTATTAGATTTGAGGAATTAATTCCATAACTTTTTTTAATGGGAAGGATCTGTTTACAAATTTTTTTTACAAATTACACTATGTACTCCTGAGAGTACATAGGGTGTGCATGACAACCATTCTGTTCCCTGGCATTGTTTTTGAAAAGAAACAATTCTTTTCTATTTCTGTGCTTTGGAACAGTTTCAGAGAAAAAGCAAATGTGTTTGATAACATGTTTTATTTTTATTCCGAGAATGAGAATTGTGTTTGATAACACAACAAATAATAGAATAAAAAATCATTCTTTTTTATGTGTGGTGGTGGTGGCGGCGGCGGCGGTAATGGTGGCGATGGTGATGGTTGTAGTAGTGGTGGTGGTGGTGGTGGTGGTGGAGGTACTGGTATGATGGTGGCAGCGGTGGCAATGGTGATGGCATGGTAGCGGCGATGGTGGTGGTGACGGTAATGGCTACGGTGAGGGTGGCAGTAGTAGTAGTGATAATAGTGGTGACAGTGATGGTGGCGGTAGTGGTAGTGATAATGGTGGTGACAGTGAATGTGGCAGTGGTGATAGCAGTGGCCACAACGATGATGGTGATAATGATGGCATGGTGGTGGTGATGGTCATGACATGGTGGTAGCGGTGGCGATGGTGTAGCGGTGGTAACGGTGGCATAGTGGTGGCGGCGACGGTGATAGTGGTGGTGCTGACAGCAGTGGCTGCGACAATGGTGATGATAATGACATGGTGGTGGGGGCGGCGATGGTGGTGGTGGTGGTGACAGTAATGGCTGCGACGATGATGATGGTGATGACATGGTGACGGCGGTGGTAGTGGCTACAATGATGGTGGTGGTGGTGGTTGGTTATGGTGGTAGTGATAATGGTGATGATGGTGATGGTAGTGGTGGTGGTGATGATGGTGATGTGGTTGTGATGTAGAGGTGGCGGTGGTGACAGCAGTGGTCGTAGCGATGGTGGTGATAATGGTGGCGATGGTGGCGATGGTGGTGGTGGCAGTAGTGGTGGTGATGGTCATGACATGACGGTGGCGGTGGCGATGGTGTAGTGGTGGTAATAGTGGCATAGTGGCGGCGAGGAAGGCGGTGGCAGTGGCGATGGTGTAGTGGTGGTAACGGTGGCATAGTGGCGGCGACGATAGCGGTAGTGGTGGCAGTGGTGGTGATGGCAGTGGCTGCGACAATGGTGATGATGATGACATGTGGTGGCAGCGATGGTAATGGTGGTGGTGGTGGTAACAGCAGTGGCTGCGACGATGGTAATGGTGATGACATGGTGGTGGCGGTGTAGTGGCGGCGATAATGGTGGCGACGGCGGCAACGATAACAGTAGTAGTCGTGGCGTCGTGGTGGTGTTGGCAGTGACTACGATGATGGTTATAGTGATAATGGTGATGACAGTGGTAGTGGTGGTGGTGGTAATGATGATGGTGGTGACATGGAGGTAGTGGTGGTACGACGATGATGGTGGTGATATGGAGGTAGTGGTGGTACAACGATGATGGCGGTGGTGACGTGGAGGTGATGGTGGTATGACGATAATGGCGATGGTCGTGTGGGGATGGTGGTGGTGGTGGTGGTGATGGTAGTGATGAAGAGTAATTTGAGAGAGATGAGTGTTTCTCATTTTGTGTCTGGGAACAAAAAAACAGAATTTTTTTTATTCTTTTTTTCTGTTTTCCAGCACAAAAATTAAACCGGTTCATCCCGGGAACAAAAAAATAAACCGATTTTACCAAACGAGTTTTCTATCCATTTCTATTTCCGATAGTAGAAATTAAAAAAAAAAAAAAATTGATTCCGAAAAGATTGTCATGCATACCCATAGTGTAACCTAATGTACTCCCGAGAGAACATAGTGTAGTTTGTAAGAGTTTGTAAATAAAAAGTTTGTAAAAATAATCCTCTCTTTTTTAATTATCACAAGTTTTACTAATTTCAATATCTGTATTTAGAAACAAAATTTGTCCAGCACGTCGCATCCTTTTTATTTATTTTTTTTCTCTTTGTATTTCTCTCTTTTCCTGGTTCTTTTGTTATCTTTATTTTATCTTCTTTTTTTTTAAAAAAAACAAAACAAAAGTTTAAAATGCAAAGAAAAACTGGAATAATATCATCAATTCATGAAACTTGGCTTTTATTTCTTACTTCAATTGAAAAATTCACTATTACCTTTTCAATTGGTCTTTGACTGAATATTTTTACTTTGACCGAACATTTTCATCATAAATAGATGACATTATTTGTGTGCGTCAAATGTTCCAAAAATTATTTAAAAACAATGATACATGATGTTTATCAGAATACAAACGGAGGAAGAGGAAATAAAATAATTATATTTAATTTTTTATTATAGCTATCCGTTTTTATTATGAATAAGTTTACATTTTTTTATTCATTTTGTAAGACATTCTTTTAAGGTTTTTTTTTTTTATTACCTTTTAACAGATATCACCACAAGTATATTTGTGATACTAATATCTCAAGTTGAAGTTGGTGGTTAGGTAAAGTCTTTTCCGAGCTCTGGAATTCAAACAGTTGAAATTGTATGTAATATTTGTTTAAGATCACAACCCACTTCTATTACAACTAATTACCGTCAAATATATTACAAACAAACATTGAAAAGAATTAAAAAAAAAAAAATTATTATAATAAAAAACCCTAAAATAGTAATATATATATATATATATATATATATATATATATATATATATATATATTTACAAAACTTTTATTATATGTAATACACAGACAGATAGACCTAAAAAAAAATATGATCATCCGCTGTAATATGATGCTATTCTATAAAAGATCTGTTCCCCTTCTTACAAGATATTTTTTAGAGGCTTCTTGCTTGCTAATTTCCCTAGATCCTATGATTTTGATATCTAACATGCTTCAGTCTTGTATAAATTCTGTTGCAATAACAAACTTGAACTACCATCTTTCTTTCTTTTTCCCCCTAAAATCCCTATTTTGCTTTCATTATCACTAAAAAGGGAGGAGAAATGGAACACCCCTTACAAACTAAGATATTGTACATGTCTTAAAGAAGATTCAAAATGATGATAATTGATGAGAAAAGAATGGTAATCTGGTTAATCAGTAAATTGATTATGATCTAGATTAGAGGAAGGGATAAACTATAATCAAGAATAACTAACCTCTACCCCACCAACACAAAATAGAACCACCAGAACTTCAATGAACCAGTATGACATTAGTTTGTACAGCATAACCAAGAAACAAGAAGCAATCACAACAAATAAAATTGCTGATGCAGAACTGATTTCCAACCTGATACAGAGAAAAAAGTATTTTAGTGTCTTTGTTCATAATAAAAGTTCACCAGTAACACAAGAAAATAGATTAATATTGTATCACTAGAGGAGCAATCAAATAAAAGTTCACCAGTAACACACCTTGTCAGAAGATACACATTCCAGCTCAAACCAATTTAAACCAGCCTGAATTGCTTGAGTACGTAGTGCAGCTGGCAAAACTTTTAGAGTATGCCCTAAAAGTTACAACAATAGGCTTGCCTGGAACATAACAAAGGGAAGAAATTAAAAAGAAAAAAAAGGAAGACAAAAAAAATAAAATAATGTCCAATGTACCCAAGTAGAAGGCTAGCTTCATTATCCAAGAAATTCAAAATGAAATGGAAATTTACTCACAATTTACTGATGTAAGCCTCGGAAGAAATCGATCAGCTAGGTCAATTGCATTTGCTACACCTGTATAAATAAGCACAATAAGTCCTGAATTGCCTAAACTGTAGTGTATTACTAGTCAAGAGAAATAACAAAGTCAGAAACAACAATTTTACTTTTATGAAAATTTACCTATTAATATACATCTGGAAAATGGGAAGGTAGTAAGCATGAAAAGATCGTGGAGCACAGCTCTGTCTTTGGTTATTAGGTAATCTAATTCATCAGCTACTATCAATTATAAGTTGTAACACAATTTTCAATAACATCCAAATTGCAGAACAAGCAGCAGTAGAAAATCATACATGCCTGTCAGACTAGACTTTATTTATTTTTTTATTTTTTTTTTAAAATAATTCTAGTGTGGCTGAAACCTTTTTTCCCATGTCCTTGGTTTAACCCAAGTATCTAAAACCTTAATGGCCAGCATTATCACGAGAAGTCGAGAACAATAACCATATTAGCAAGCCTAATCTAAACTCGAAAAAATACGCATTACCCAAGTCCATCGAAATACCATACGAAATAGGAAATACCAAATAGCATAAACAAGTTATTGCAAACCCACTTTAAAACACAATAAAACTCAGCAGCCACAAAAAAAAAAAATATATATTAAATCTTAAGAGATTGAAGTCGAATAGATGAACTGGAAGAATCGGAAGAGGGAAAAGGATGAGATCTGGGTATTTGGGAAGTGGGAAAATAAAAAAGTCATAACAGATGCAAATCTAAAAAGCTAATAGAAAAAGAGAAACATCAACATCACTTTTCACTAAATTTTCGAATCTGAGAAAAAAAAAGCCATAACATAATTTTACCTTTCAGAGATTCATCAAAGCTAATCTCTAACGCAGAGCTTTGGACGCTGATACATGAAAGAAGGTCGATCAGATTCACTTAACACAAATCCAAAATGAAGAAGAATTTTTCGTTAGGATTTAGGGGGGGGGGGGGAAGCATCGCTGCATCACTGAGAATATGAGCTGCGACGGCTAAGATGAAAGAAGATAGGTCAAACGAGAGAAAGTTTGTTATTGTTAAATTCAAATTTCAAATATTAATAGAGGCGGTTGTAAAATAATGATTAAAATATTTAAAACTGATATGCTCACTGGCGCTTTTTCAAAGTGAGGTGAGATAACCGACTTTAAACATGTGATTTCTTGCCGCATGAGAATCCACTGTTATTTTTTTTTTATTTTTTTGCATTGGCCTTTAGATACAATAAAGTTATTTTGATATCCAAAAAAAAATGATATAATATTATGTTTAAGGAAAAAAGTTTCTGATGTTACTTTAGATAATTTTGTCTAATGTTCATCGAAACGACGTCGTTTTGAGGTTAAAAAATTAAAAAATTATAATAATAAAGACTATTATAACCCTGAAATAAATTAAAATTATAAAAACACCATGATTTCCGTCCCAAAACGACGTTGTTTCGATGAACATTAGATAAAGTTATCTAAAGTAACTTTAGAAAAAACAAACCCTTATGTTTAATGTGAAGAATGAAATTGTATAGAATAATAAAAATAAAAATAAAATATCAAGTAATAAATTGAAGGGAAATCATTATCTCCTTCTACATGAGATAAGAACTTTTTCCTACACAAATTCGTTTTCCGTGCCAATTAATTTTTCTTTTCTTTTTTAATTTAAAATGTGGGACCCACATTTAACTTATCTCTACTTTTTTTCTCTCCTACTATCCTACAACATAAGAAAATATGCACCCTAAATTGAAATTACAATTGATACAATCAAAAACAAAATCACTGTTATTAAGGTACTGGGTCATTGGGTCACTGGTCGGATCGGTGGGTCATTTGTTAGACCGGTTGACCAGGATATATTTTATATATAAATATGAACATATAAATTTTTTTTTTGGTAAGCAAAAAATACTATTTAATTATATTCTCCATATCTAAAATGAGTTAAATAAAGTTCACTAAATAAGCTCAAAAATTACTCAACGACACTTTTACAAGTTCATAAAGGCCAAATGAATGAAAATGAACGTTATTACTATGCCAATTTAAATTGCAATTCAAAATACCCATAAGCATACTTCTTAATGACATTCAAAAGGTCATATATTGTGAGTTCATATTTTTCAAATTCATCTACTTTGAAATAACATATGTCACATTCTCTTAATTTATTTTTTCACAAATTGCTTCAGTAAGCTGAAATTTGAGGTCATTGTAAAAAAAAGTATACTACTAGCAAAAAAAATTACAAAAAATTTTAAAATGAGTTCCCCATTTTTTTCTAACAAGATGAAATAATTTTGGTTTTTGAATTTTTTATTATTATTATAAAAATACATGAATCGACTGGATCACCGGATTTGGCCGAGTGTGATGCATGGCTGGTCGATGCTTGACTCCAACAGGTCCTATAATCAGTTTACCAGATTCTGGGTCGGGTTAGATTTCACAACACTGAATAGAATAATGTGGTCAACTAAAATTGTTTTTCTAAGCAACTTCTTAAAAAGCAAGGAGAGGGGGATGAATAGAATCATAGGAAAATTCACTTGGATGAGAAACATTAAAAGGGTTTATAAGAGTGTATATAAAGTTCGATATAATAGGTGGTTTGTATTTGTAATTCTCTAATTTTTCATACAATGGATTTTGATATCCTCCTTAGATATGTTCAAATCTTTTGGATGAATCTCATAATTTGTTCCTACGTGATTTTATTCATCTTTCATGTTTGTTTGTTTTTTACAATATTTTTATGAAAGAAATAACCAAGTAATTTTCCAGTAAATAAAAATAAATCTTGTGATACTGGTTTTAATATCCAGAATAGATTAATTACCAACAAATGGCATCAGAGTGTGGCTGAATTTAGTATTTCTTATTTTGATGGCTTAAAATTCGAGATCACAATTAATCAAGATGGAGCAATTTGATAACAATAAAAGGGAGTGAAACATGTGAAGAAGCACGGGTTGTTGAGCGAGAAAGAATGGCTAGCAAAAGAGCATAGAAATGTTACCATTATAAAACAGTGGCACATGAGGGAATGTTTTAAGGGTAAATGCATGTAACATCCCGCATAATTAGGAACTTCTATAAATTATAATTAAGAATGCATAGCATGCTTGGAACTCGAATTAAAGTTAGTTTAGAGTGGAATTAATTTAAAGTAGGAAAATGATTGTTATGGCCATTATAAGTGATACATAATTATGTAGAAATTTTAAGAATTCAAGATACTAGTTAAAAGGGAAGAGTATTGCATTAAATTACCATATAGGTAGGGACCCTAATTATTAACTAGTGGATATATAAAATTACATACATTAGTATCTATATGTAATTAATATATATATATATATATATATATATATATATATATATATATATTACATGAGATGAGTGACTTATTAGGAAAATAATGCTAGATTTTTAGCCTTGTTATGCGTTGAGTATAGAAGTAAAGGAAAGGAAAAAAATTTAGTTACTAGTATTAGAGACCTAAGTAATCCGATTGGCCACCCCATGCAGCCAATAAGGTGAAGGTAATCCTATTGCATGAAATCCTATTGGCCTTTGATAGCCACATCTTCTAGCACCCAATGAGACTAAAAAGAAATCTGATTATTATGCTCTTACTTGTAATTTTTGGATAAAAATGCTCACCTCTCATCCCCACTGCATTGAATCAAACATATCCTCTTACCTTCCCTCACCGGACGTCTAGTGGATGAGTGGTGAAATCTGGATGCCTATTTTCTAATGAGTCTCAAGCTATCTCTACCCTTTCAGCTCATCATTGTCCCTGTACGCTTAATGGGAGGAAACTAAAGTTCCTTTCTGGTCAAGGGTTCAGACTCCTAATCAAAGTTATCTTCCTATACCTCTCCTTCTATGCGCACAACAAAGACCCAAACAAGGACCGATGGTCATTTGGATTTAGGATCAAAGCTCAGCTCACCTCTCCTTCTTAGTTGCACGCCTCAAGGAAGGGCATTAAGACAAACCATGCGTACATCCCCTCCCTCCCTTTTCTTTCCAAGCCGTGGGTTCTTTGAGAATGTACAAAACGTCCAAGCAGTTTCTAAGCACGGAGGTATTATATTTAATTACTCCATTGTTCCTTCGTATTATCCTCACTTTGATGGAGGGCCTCTGCATACAGGCTGAAGTCTATACCCCACTGCCTTTTGTTCCTTGTGCGCACAAATTGCACAAGAGGGAACAGATGAACTCTGTTTCGTGGAGCCTAGGGAGGGAGAAAGGTTGATCATTGACTAAATTGTGGTCGTTCATGTGTTTGCAAGTAGAAGTAAGTATAATATTAAACTCTTCCTTGCTCTTGGATTGTTCGGCCCCCTTGTATGATAGGAGAATAAATTATTGTGGCCATCTTTACTCCTTTAACCATATAGTTATGTGCAGCATTAGGATTGGATGCATGTGAACCTTAACCGAAAATTAGGAACTTGGAAATAACCCCATATAAATTGTTGAAGTAAAACTTGGTGCACATAAATTCTGCCCTTTTGAGTAGCTCTTAGGAAATAAAATTTATTTTCGTAACCCTTTCATTAATTCTGTTCTAAAACGTGAACTAGTGTGCATACATGCCTAAAAACAGATTTTTGGAAAATTGGAGTATATCTCTTTTATAAATATTGGTAGAAAGGAAGTGATCTGAAAACTATAGAACTGGCCTGGAACAATTTCTGATTTGCTATCCGTATATAAGAAGGTGCGCATAATTCTCAAAGAATAGACTGAAATTCTGTTTTGGGATAAAATAACTTGGATTGGATTATGGCTTGTTGAAAACTCTACCTTAGAAATGATAACGTGAACTGGTTTGAGAACTGTTGGAAATTTTGTCTTGGAAATATGTTTTGTTCGAAAATTATGGTTTTGTCAATTGATATCTATTAAGAAAATAAATTAAGGGCAGAAAGCTGCCAACATTGAAGCATAATAACTTGGTTAGAAAACTAGAAATTGAGAGATGATAAATTTGAGTTTAAGCCTCTTCTCTTCCTTTTATTTCGGTCACCAATTACCTGAAAGAGAAATATATAAGTGGCTGAAATTTTAGGCATTTTGCGAGTTCTGTTTCCGGGGCTACGGAACTCCGATTGAGCTATATTTTATATGTATGCGTAGCCCCAGATGTGCACTTCCTTCGTAACAAAGAAATTTTTTGTAAACTATTAAGACCAATTTTATATAAGTTTTGTAAGTCAGGCAGGTTTAAGAAGAAAGTTTCATTTTCGCAGCAATGATTGTATGCAGAATTTTAGTTGTTTAACCTATGGATTCTGACTTAAGTTTTACACATAAAGTATTTAATGAAAACCTTTGTTGTAACTATGTGGGAACCGATTCAATTATTTTACACGAATATTTCACACAAATTATTTTAAATTAATGGCAGAAA